AATCAGGTAAACATCTTTCTGATATTCTCTGCTTTCAGCCAAGATCCATCGGACATCAGCAACGATAGCCCTCGTTCCACGGCCTCTTCTGAATCCGGCTTGAACCTCTGGAAGTTCTCTGTCAATATATGATAGTAACTGTTTCTGTATTGCCTTTAGCAAAACTTTACTCGCGTGAGATATCAAAGAGATTATCTGATGATTTCCGCATTCTGTTGGGTCACTTCTCTTTGGAATGGGCACAAATATGGATCTTTTCCAATCAGTCAGCCAGATAGTTGTATTCCAGATTTCTTGGCAGAGATGAGTGAGTGCCTCCTGTGCCGCCTCAGTTTCTTGAAAGATTTCAATTTTTTATTCCATCAGTTCCTGGTGTTTTGTTCTTTGCCAATTCCTTCAATGCACCTTGGACTTCCTCCCTAAGTATCATTGACTTCTGATCATATGCTACCTCTTGAAACAGTTGAACATTAACCATTTCCTTTTGGTACAGTGACTGTGTATTCCTTCCATCTTCTCTTGATGCTTTCTGCATCATTCAATAATTTGCCCAGAGAATGTTTCAATAACGGAAGTCGAGACTTGAATTTTTTTCTTCAGTTCCCACAGCTTGAGAAATGCTGAGCGTGTTTTTCCTTTTTGGTTTTCTGATTCCAGATCTTTGCACATTTTGCTGTAATATTTGGCTTTATCTTCTCAAGTTGATCTTTGAAATTTTCTGTTCAGGTCTTAGACCTCCTCATTTCTTCCATTTGCTTTAGCATCTCTACGCTGGAGAGCAAGTTTCAGTGTCTCTTATGACATCCATTTTGACCTTTTTCCACCATAAATAGTATAAAATGTCACCATAAATAGTATAATTATTCAGGTTCTAAAGAAGAATGATTTAACAAATGTTATTTTAGAAATAATAGTTGAGAATTGTTCTGGAAGGTAGACTGGTACAGTTAAGATAATTGCAGTTTCAAGAAGTAAGGATATTGGAGCAGGGAGGTTTGCTAAAGTAAAAGACTTCTTTGTTCCTTCAACTTTTTATCATTCTCTAAGAAGTAATTCTAAAAATTTCACAGCTTTCACTCCTATCTTGTTTTTAAAATGAGCAACAGAAGAAGGCAAAATCAAATGGTCACACTCATGTTATCTTAGGCTGTATCCATTATTACCAGTGAACTGGAAACTTTTGAGAAATCACTGCTGCATATTTAATGTATATTTGTATCTCTTTTTGTAATGCCCTGTGATTGATTAAGGAATATAATGAAATACATTTTATACATTTATTATTAAATTACAAAACTTGTTTCTTAGTAATACCTGTAAGTTCCGTTTGAGTCAGAATCCACTTGACAGCAGTGGGTTTGTTTGTTAGTTTTGTATTAGCTTGAGAAGAAGTTTTCTACCTGAACATGCAAGCTAAGGAATGCATGGAATTAAAATAGTATGTATACTTCTTACCAGTGAAGATTAAAAATTTTACCCCATTAGTCAACTGACAGTTTAACATTTTTGTGACATAAATAATCAGAAAATGTTTTCCTAATCTCTGTACATTCTGTTTTATATAAATTAGTCCAATACCTCAAATATTTATATTTAATTTTAGGACACCTGTGAATAGAATGAAAATATTGGTTTTATAGTTTTAAAAATTTTGTTCTGTTTCAGATTTGGTGTGAGAAAGAAGCCAATTTACATTAATGTGATAAGAGATCCCATTGAGAGACTAGTTTCTTACTATTACTTTCTGAGATTTGGAGATGACTATAGACCAGGGTTACGGAGACGAAAGCAAGGAGATAAAAAGGTAACAATAATTTTAAGATATGTATTAAAATAATTGTTTTTGAAATGCAGTAAACAATGTGCTTTTTTATTTGCTATTGATTATAAATGTGTTGTTAGTTGCCATCAAATATTACTTGCTTACTGTAGAAAGTTTGAAAAAAACAGAGTGGCATCAAGAAGCAAAAGTTGTAGCACTTATATAGTAGATAGATATCTTGCAACACATATACATTTTTATTTTTTGTTTTTAAATAGACATACTCTTTTTAGAGCCACTTAAGTTTACAGAATAATCTTGTAGAAAATAAAGTCTCCCTTCTCCCCTTGCACAGTGTTTCCTATTACCATTGTACAGTCAGTCATGTAGTACCTTTGTTACAATTGATGAACCAACGTTGATACATTATTATTAGCTAAAGTTTACTTTAGATTTCATAATTTACATTGTACAGTCCTGTAGTTTGACAAATGTAGAATGCCATACACTCACTACTACAGAATCATACAGAATCATTCCGAATCAATTCACTGCTCTAAGAATGCCCAATGCAAGCATCCATTATTAGTGTGTGTGTGAGATAGTTTAAAATATCCTAAAACTTAAAAAATGTTGCATATATGTCATAGGTCTGAATAAATGTTTTAAAATTTTTTATCAGACCATTATAATTATTTATTAATTTATGATATATTTGTGTACGTATTTTGATTATCTTAATTTTGATGATGGCAATTTATATTGATATGTGATCATGTATTTATCGTCTATCAGTTTGTCATACTGTGGTTCTGACAGCTATGCCATGGATATTTTAAAGATCAGTAGGGTCAGCCACAATGGACAGGCTTCAGCTGAGCTTCCTTACAAAGACAGTTTAGGACGAAGGAGAGACAGGCTATTTCTGAATATTTAATCACTGAAAACCTTATGAATAGCAGTGGGACACTGTCAGCACCAGAATACTGCATATTGAAACATGATGAAGAGTACCAGAATACTGTCGGGTATAGGACCTCTCAAGTTGGAAGGCACTCAAAATACAATTGGGGAAGAATTGCCACCTCAAAGTAGAGTTGACCATAATGATTCAAATGGATTAAAACCTTTGGACCTTCATTTTCTGATAGGGCACACCTCAAAATGAAGAGAAACAGCTGTAAATATCCATTAATGTTGAAACAGTGAATGCCTGAAGTATGAATCTAGGAAAATTGAATATTGTAAATATGAAAATGCATAAACGTTGATATCCTAGGCAATAGTGAGCTGAAATGGACTGGTATTAGCCATTTTAAAAATGACAGTCAGATGCTTTACTATGCCAGGAATGACAAATTAAAGAGGAATGGCGTAGCATTCGTCATTAGAAAGAACATACCAAGGTATTTCTTGAAGTAGTACAACACAGTCTGTGATAGGATAATATCCATACGCCTACAGGGAAGATCGGTTAATACAATTATTATTCAAATTTATACACTAACCACTAAAGCCATTGATGATGAAATTGAAATTCTACCAAATGCTTAAAAGTTCAAAATTGATAAACCATGCAATCAAGATATACTGGTAATTACTGGCGAATAAAATGCAAAAGTTAGAAACAGAGGAAGGATCACTATTTGTAAAATATACCTTGGTGATAGAAATGATGCTGGAGGTCACGTGATAGAATTTTGCAAGACCAATGACTTCTTCATTACTAATAGCTTTTTAAAAAAACAACATAAAAGATGACTATACAGATGATCCTCAGATGGAATATGCAGAAATCAAATACTACATATGTGGAAAGAGATGGTTTAAAAAAACTCCATATCATCAGCCCAGGGCAGACTGTGGAAGAGATCATCAATTGCTTATATGCAAGTTCAGACTGAAGCGGAAGAAAATTAAAACAAGCCCATGAGAGCCAAAATAAGAACTAGAACATATCCAACCTGAATATAGAGATTATCTGAAGAACAGATCTGATGCATTAGACTCTAAAGACAAGAAGAGTTGTGGGATAACATCAGAACCATCATACAGGAAGAAAACAAAAGTTCATTAAGAAGACAAGAAAGAAGGAAAAGACCACAGTGGATGTCCGAAGAGACTCTGAAACCTGCTCTCCAGCATAGAGGTGCTAAAGCAAGTGGAAGAAATGAAAAGGTAATAGAGTTGAATAGAATTTCACAGAACAGCTCGAGAAGTCAAATATTATAACGAAATGTGCAAAGACCTGGAATTAGAAGGTAAAGAATGCACCAAAGTGAAGAACACATGCAGCTGAGAGAACTGAAGAAAAAATTCAAACCTTGACTCATACATAATATTGAAGGGAATTTTCTCTGAGAAAAATATTGAATGATGTAGAAAGCATCAAAAGAAGATGGAAGGAAAACACAGCCATTGTACTGAAAAGATATAGTTGATACTCAACCATTTGAAGAGGTAGCCATTAAGAGCCAATGATACTGAAGGAAGAAAACCACGGTGCATTGAAGGAATTGGCAAAGAACAAGGCAGCAGGAATTGATAGAATAAAAATTGAAATTGTTCAACAAACTAAAGCAGTACAGGAGGCACTCACTCACTCATCTGTACCAAGAAATTTGGAAGACAAATAACCTAGCCAACTGATTGGAAGAGATCCATATTTGTGCAAATTCCAAAGAGAGGTGACCCAGCAGAATGTGGAGATCATCAGACAATGTCATTAATATCCCATGCGAGTAAAATTTTGCCAAAGATAATACAAAACTGCTGCAACTATACATTGACAGAGAACTTCCAGAGGTTCAAGCTGAATTCAGAAGAGGCTGTGAAATGAGGGATCTCATTGCTGACATCAGATGGATCTTGGCTGAAAGCAGAGAATACCAGAAAGATGTTTATTCTATTTTATTGACTATAGAAAGGTTTTCAATTGTGTGAATCCATACAAGCTATGAATAACATTGTGGAGCATGAATATTCTGGAACACTTAATTGTGCTCACGAAGAACCTGCACATAGACCAAACGGCAATTGTTCAAACAAAACAAGGGAATAACAAATGGTTTAAAATTAGGAAAGTTGTGTGCCAGGGTTCTGTTCTGTCACTATATTTATTCAGTCTGTATGCTGAGCACATAATCTGAGAAGTTGGATTATATGAAGAAAAATGTGGCATCAGGATTAGAGGAAGACTCATTAACAGCCTGTGATATGCAGATGATACCACTTTGCTTGCTGAAAGTGAAGAGGACTTAAAATACTTACTGATGAAGATCAAAGACCACAGTCTTTGGTATGAGTTCACCTTAATGCAAAGAAAACAAAAATCTTTACCACTGGACCAATGAACAACATCCATATAAAAGGAGAAAATGAAGTTGTAGACCTCATTTTGCTCAGATCAGCCATCAATACTCTTGGAAGCAGCAGTCAAGAAATCAAATACTGTATTGGCTTAGCAGATCTGCCGCACAAGACCTCTTTAAAGTGTTCAAGAGCAAAGATGTCAATTTGAGGACTGAGATGCGCCTGACCCATGCCATGGTATTTTCAATAACCTTATATGCATTGGAAAGTTGAACTATGAATAAGATCGTAGAAAAGACTTGATGCCTTTGAGTTACTGTGTTGGAGGATAATATGAAAAGTACCATAGACAACTAAAAGAACAAACCAATCTGTGTTGGAAGAAGTAAAGCCAGAATGCTGTTTGGAAGCCAGAATGACCAGAGTTTGTCTCATACTTCAGCCATGTTATCAGGAGGGAGCAGTTCCTGGAGAAGGATGTCATGTGTGGTAAAGTGTATAGTCAGAGAAAATGACAAAAGACCCCCAACTAGATGGATTGTCACAGTAGCAGCAGCAATGGACTCAAACATAACAATGATTGTGAGGTTGGTGCAGTACCAGGCTGTGTTTTGTTCTGTTGTGCGTAGGGTCGCTATGAGTTGGTACTGACTGTATGGCACCTAACAACAACAATTTTTGTAGTGACTGTTTTTCATGCCATAAGAGAATAATGGGTCAACAAAATTGTTGTTAGGTTTGAAATTGGGTTGTCTTCCATGTCACTGAAGACTCAATAGTATAATTGGAGTTAAGTTCTCAAGAAACCAAACTGTGTTATTTAGTGGAACAAGTTTTTTGGGGACCTTATTGCTCACAGAATTGTCCATGTCCTAGCAGGTACAATTGACATAATCTGAGACTTCTCCAGCCTTATTTTCCCTCTAGCTCCCAGTGCTCCAGCCACATGAAATGTCACTGCCCTCCAAGTTTATTATTGTTTCTTATTTTTTGCACACGTATTGTACCCTATGTTGAGAATGTCTTTTCTTCACTCTAGATAACTCTTTGTTCACTATTACCTTTGTTCACATGTTACCTCTTCCATAAAATCTCTTTTGTGGTCCCCAGACTGAGTTAGTCATTTCCCTTTCAATGTTCCCCAGTTGCTCCACCGAAATCTCCACTTTCTTAACATTCATTTTGTATTATCTAATTGTGTTATCTAATTGCTTGTGTTTGTAAGTGACTGAATGAATGAATTCTGCATCTTTTTAATCTAAGTTTTGCACAATAGTGATGGCAAATATTGGCATGCTATTGCAGATAAATTTTCAACAATTTTTTTTCTAAGTGTGCCCCCCTCTGCATCATGTGAAGAGGCAATGATTTGTTTTTTTATTTTCTAGAAATTGATGTTTCCTTCCTTTTCCTCTAAGTTTTATGCAGAAGCTTTGTTGTTAGGTGTCCTTGAATAAACCCCAACTCCTAGTGACCCTATGCCAAACAGAACAAGACATCGCCTGGTCCTGCACCATCCTCACAGTCATTGCTTTGTTTGAGCCCATTGTTGCTGCCACATTGAAGGTCTTCCTCTTTTTTTCTGACCCTCTTCTTTATCAAGCTTGATGTTCTCTAGGGACTGGTTCCTACTGATACCAAGAGACGAAGTATAAGAGACAAAATTACCATACTCGATTATAAGCAGTATTCTGGCTATACTTTTTTCAAGATGGATTTTGTTGTTCTTC